GAGACCTTGCTGCTGCGGCCGGGCAGCTGGCGATGCTACCATGGAGGACCTGGGAGCCTGGGCAGGGTGGGCAGCCGTCCACCCAGGGTGCTTCCAGTGCAGGTTCGGACGGTCTGGGGTGGGCCAGCTCTGGACCTTGGACAAGTCACTCAGCCCCCTGCAGAGGCTTCAGTTCCCGCCTCCAGAAAGTGACGATGATAACAGAAGCGCCTTCTCAGGGAGGGTGAGAAAAACACAGCACTCAGCACGCCTGGCCCACGGCGAGCTCCCACAGCGCTGGCCAAGAGGGCCGGGCCGTCGCGCGGTGCCAAGTGTTCTGGATTCAGGTCCCTGCGCTGCCTCTAGGGATCCCACCCGGAACGACAACGCTGACTTCAGACTCTCCAAAGGCCAGAACTTCAGACGAGGCCGGGCGGCCTGAAGTAGGTCAGCACATTCTTCTGACAAACTCGGGGCTCAGACCAGGTACCCGACGCGACGCTGAGAGTCGCGGTGGGGGTGGGGGCAAGACAAGGAGGGCGCGGTCTGGGGCTGATTGAAAAGAGAGGTGCACCCCCACTGGAGGTGGGCTGAGCAGACTGCAAGCAACAGGAAGGAGCAGCACCACCTGGTGAGAAGCAGGGGCCCCTCTGGCTGGGCTGAGATCACGCAACCCAGGACCAGGGGCAGCTTTGCGATGTGGGGGAGAAACCTAGTGACCTCCCATTGGGGTCTCCCACGCTGCCCTCCATCGCACTGGGGGACAACTGCACCGAGGGTCCTGTTGCTGGGCTTTCGCTGGTTCCTTTCCTTTCCTCCGCAGGTATTCCAGGGTACTTCTCTAAAGCGCTAACGCAGTCACAATTCTAACATCAAAATACACTTAGAATTTTAAATATCCAGAAAGACTCCTGATTTCCAATTAGAGCAGGAGCTAAGAACCACGCTGGGGCCATGGCGGTCTAGGGAAGCCTACAGTCTCTCTCCAGAACAAGGCTTTTGTATGCAGAAAATAAAACACAGCTTCCCAGAGACATCAATGATATTTAAATGCATTGACTGAAATACTACTTAACATTGTAACAGTAATAAACCCTTCTTTATAAAGTGTTAAATAATAGCAAGCATTGGGGCTAATAACTAACCAACTTCCAAGCTGGAACAGCGTGAAGCAGCTTTTACAGAGCCCCAGAGCTGCACAAGCAGGTGTCGCCTCCCCAGAACTCCTGCAGATGCAACTTGAGGTCTTCATGTTGCTGCTTGGGGGACGAAGGGAGGAGACCTGACCTAACCGAGGCACCTGCCAGGTGCGGCCAGTGGCAGGCCTTTGGGTGGCTCATTCTTGCCAGAGGTTTGATGATCTGAGTTCCAGTTCAGCCCAGGTTCCGTGCTCCTTCCTGCCCCCACACCCACACGAGCAGCCTCCGCCAGAAGCCGGACTGATCCTGCAGCCTCCAACCATGAGCTGAAACAAAACATCTCCTTCTCCTTCCCAAAGAAGTTCCCTTGGGTATTTTAAAGTAAGGAAAAGCAGATTCATATCAGTGCGAGAGGAAAATAGCTGTGATTCCCACCGGAGGCCGAGTCCCTGGTCTTTGCAAAGGTGCATATGCCTGCTGCCTACAACCCAAATGAACCACACGCTGAATTCCAGTTAAGGTGAATGAAAATACAGGCGGCTAGAGGGACGTGAGTGTGAACGGAGCCTCTCAATGAGTGTGAACCGAGACCTACAGTGAGTGTGAACTGAGACCCAGGGTGAGTGTGAACCGAGACCCAGGGTGAGTGTGAACCGAGACCCAGGGTGAGTGTGAACCAAGACCCAGAGTGAATGTGAACTGAGACCCACAGTGAGTGTGAACCGAGACCCAGGATGAGTGTGAACCGAGACCCAGAGTGAGTGTGAACTGAGACCCAGAGTGTGAACTGAGACCCAGGGTGAATGCGAACCGAGACTCAGGATGAGTGTGAACCGAGACCAACAGTGAGTATGAACCGAGACCCAGAGTGAGTGTGAACTGAGACCCACGGTGAGTGTGAACTGAGACCCAGGGCGAGTGTGAACAGAGACCCAGAGTGATGTGAACCGAGACCCATGGTGAGTGTGAACCAAGACCCACAATGAGTATGAACCGAGACCCACAATGAGTATGAACCGAGACCCACAGTGAGTGTGAACTGAGACCCAGGGTGAGTGTGAACTGAGACCCAGAGTGAGTGTGAACCGAGACCCAGAGTGAGTGTGAACTGAGACCCACAATGACGACCACGCCTGCTTCCGTGTAGCCCTTCTGAAGCCTTCCCCAGAAGCTAGTTTGGTCCCAGACCAACCACAAGCTGACAGAGCCAGATTCTGCCTGCCCATTGTTACTGGCTCACTCGAGTGGTCCCCGATCCCACGGGTCTTGCTGACTCAGGGTTGCCAGGGGGCTCAAATGAAAGTGGGGATGCACGCAAGAGACGTAACACAGAGCCAGAATCAAGACTCTCCCACCCACTTGCAGGGTTTGGGGAATCAGTGACACAGAGGCCAACCCAGGTGCATCCCTGCTGCACCCACAGCAGGTAGTGCTAATCAACCAACCACACACTCTGTGAGGCTCACTACTCTGCAGTCTTTGGCTGTCCTATCGTGGAACCTAGGCATGCAGCTCACAAACACAAAGACACAAGTGCCACTTTGACTCTACAGGTTCAAGTAGAGACACACTCATGTCCTCCACCCAGGCTCACCCTATTGATACCGACCGCCTGCCCCCGACCAAGGTGTGACCAGAGGCACATGCCCAAATCAGGGCCCCAACCTGTTCTTCCAGGCTCACTTCCAGTCCACTCTGCTCCTGGTGCTGCCCTGCCACCAAGGTGCTCACCTCCGATCAGCTCTTCCCCAGGCCCTTCTGTAGCCCCCCATCCCAGCCTTGTAAACCGTGGGCTCCGGCCCAGAAGGCCCTTGCTCCACCCGACTCCCCAGGCCAAGCCAGACCTCCCCTTGTCTATTCTGAGCACACAGTTTGCAACCGCTGTAGGCCACAGGGAGCTTTGCACTCAAGGTGAGAGCCTGTGAGTGGCTCTCATCCAACAGACGGGAGACCCCGCGCCTGGGACAGGCTTCCCAGCTGAAGAGAAGTGGGTTCACATCTCCTTACTAGCTGTACCTGCGAGGGAGTTTATTTGCTTTTCCGAGGCTCAGGTCAGCACCTGTAAGTCAGGAAGGACTCGCTCCCACAGAGCCACAGCATGGGAGCCCCCGACGACGGGACGAGCTCCCTGTTACAGCACCTTGGGGCAGGGGCTGCGCTCCCCTCATTCAGTACTGTCCCACAGACCCACCACTGCACATGGCGCAGGACCTGCTCCGAACTGCCCCGGCCCCTCCCCCCACAGTGTTTCTCACAGTCACTCCCTCCTTCCATCAAACCACAGCTTCAGAGGGCTGACCAAAGACAGGACAATCAATGAAACAGCTGTGTAGATTCAAAGTCACTCTTTTCCACATCCACAGACTAACAGCAGCAGCTATAAAGGCCACCCGTTGGGGCTGGCGCTGTGGTGTAGCAGGTAAAGCCGCTGCCTGCAATGCCGGCATCCCATATGGGTGCCGGTTGGAGTCCCGGATGCTCCACTTCCAATCCAGCTCTCTGCCATGACCAAGGAAAGCACTGGAAGATGGCCCAAGTCCCTGGGCTCCTGCATCCATGTGGGAGACCCAGAAGAAGCTCCTGGCTCTGGATCAGTGCAGCTCCGGCCATTGCGACCATCTGGGGAGTGAACCAGTGGATGGAAGACCTCTCTCTCTCTCTGCCTCAGCCTCTCTGTAACTCTGCCTTTCAAATAAAATACATAAATCTTTAAAAAAAAAAAAACCCAAAAAACAGTAAATTGTCCTGGAAGCACTAACTGACAGACATAAAAAAAAAAAAAAACAAAAAAAAAAAAACAGACCGCCTGTCACTGGCTAGAGGGCTACACCCCTGGGAACGACTCATCACACCTCCTTCCTGCCCGAGACTTGGGCCAGCACAGAGCAACAGAGACGGCCAACCTGGCCTTGGCCTGGGCCAGCACCTCGGAGTCTCCACTTCAGCCCCTCCGACCTGTCCGGCCCTCACTGGCCTTGAGGTACTCGTCCCTCCACCAGGCGGGCTCGTCTTAGTGCCCACTGGGTCTGCACAGCTCAGCGTGGACACCCCCTCCTCCGAGAGGCTTCCCCCAGCCTGTGGCCTCTGGCTCAGACCTGATACGACACCAGTCTTTTTTTTTTTTTTTTTTTTTAAGATTTATTTATTT